TGAATCTGAGGAACTGTCCCGGCTTGAAGTGTCATTAGAGGAGGTTTTGGAACAAATAGAAAAACTTAATGTTACCAAATCTCCGGGACCGGATGGCATTCATCCAAGGGTTCTAAAAGAACTCAAATGGGAAATTGCGGAACTGTTAACTGTGGTTTGTAATCTATCCTTTAAATCAGCTTCCGTACCTACTGACTGGAAGATAGCTTACGTGACAACAATATTTTAAAAGGGGTGATCCCGGCAATTACAGACCGGTAAGTCTAACGTCTGTACCGGGCAAATTAATCAAAACAATACTTAAGAATAAAATTGTTAGGCATGTAGAAGAACATAATTTGTTGGACAAAAGTCAACATGGTTTCTGTAAAGGGAAATCCTGTCTTACTAATCTATTGGAGTTCTTTGAAGGGGTTAACAAACATGCGGACAAGGGGGATCCAGTAGATATAGTATACTTGGATTTTCAGAAAGCCTTTGACAAGGTCCCTCACCAAAGGCTCTTGTGTAAATTACATGGCCATGGGATAAGAGGGAAGGTCCTTTCTTGGATTGAGAACTGGTTAAAAGACAGGAAAAAAAGGGTAGGAATAAATGGTACATTTTCAGATTGGAGAGGGGTAACTAGTGGTGTCCCCCAAGAGTCAGTCCTGGGACCAATCCTTTTCAACTTATTCATAAGTGATCTGGAGAAAGGGGTGAGCAGGGAGGTAGTAAAGTTTGCAGATGATACCAAACTGTTTAGGATAGTTAAGACAGAAGCAGACTGTGAGGGACTCCAAGAAGATCTCCCCAAACTGAGTGATTGGGCAACAAAATGGCAAATGAATTTTAATGTGGATAAGTGTAAAGTAATGCACATCGGGGAAAAATAACCCATATGAGGAGAGGTTAAAGCGACTGGGACTTTTCAGTTTAGAAAAGAGGAGACTGAGGGGGGATATGATAGCGGTATATAAAATCATGAGTGGTGTGGAGAGGGCTGATAAAGAAAAGTTATTTATTAGTTCCCTAAATAAAAGAACTAGAGGACACCAAATGAAATTAATGGGTAGCAGGTTTAAAACTAATAAAAGAAAGTTCTTCTTCACAGAGCGTGTAGTCAACCTGTGGAACTCCTTGCCAGAGGAGGCTGTGAAGGCTAGGACTATAACAGAGTTTAAAGAGAAGCTAGATAATTTCATGGAGGTTAGGTCCATAAAAGGCTATTAGCCAGGGGATAAAATGGTGTCCTTGGCCTCTGTCTGTCAGAGGCTGGAGAGGGATGGCAGAAAACAAATCGCTTGATCACTGTTTTCGGTCCACCCTCTCCGGGGCACCTGGTGCTGGCCACTGTCAGCAGACAGGATACTGGGCTAGATGGATCTTTGGTCTGACCCAGTATGGCCGTTCTTATGTTCTAAATATCCAAAAGAGCAGCCTAAAGTTAGGCACCTAAATTGGTGACTTGATTTTCAAAAGTTGAGAGCAACAAGTCATCCCCTCACTGAATTATCCTTGTCTATTGCATTCCCATGAATGAGACTATTATGATTTTATGCATGACTGTTTGCATTTTTACAGAGTCATTATTTTGGAATTTCTACTTATGTGCAAAGTTTTAGTTTGGTATCTACCCTTTGTTCACAGACTTCCATTGGCGACCAGAGAATATATCCAAACTGCAGGACTCCGATCTACTATAGCGTGGGCTATGGCATCTCTTGCTGAAATTAGTGTAAGCAAACACTCATCAGGGTTTTTCAAACTTTATTGCACCGCTATCCCCTTCTGGCAGCAAAAATTATTTCACAACCCCAGGAAGAGGTACCAAAGTTCCTAGCCTTGTTGCCGGGGGGAGGGGAGAGAGTCTGAGGGATTCCACTCTGGGTAAGGTGGCTGAGCTTTAGCTCCTGACCTCAGCAAGTCATTACAATGGGGTCCCGACCCACAGTTTGAGACCTACTGACGATCAATAGTAGCATAATGATAGTTTCTGTTGTTCAGAGAGCTGAGAATTTCATGAGTCAGTTAGTGGCAGAGATGGCCTTGCAGATGCTTTTTAGAGGAACATTATATAGTTTTCTCTAAAAGCACCTGCCCTCTAACCAACACACCAACATTAGATTTCAGAAAATGTAGTTGAGGGTATCTCGCTGACTCTTATATTTCTGACGTCTTGTGGTAAGTCTGATCTTGCAAAGTGCTGATTTTTGTCACTTCTCATTGACATTGGTGAGAATTTGTGGGCATTCATCGTGTTCCAGGGTCAGACTCTGTCACAGAAGATAACTCAGTCATTTTGCTTTGAATTTGATACTCAATTTGTATTAGCTGCAGTGCTGAATCTCACCCAAATAGCTAGCTTTAGAAGAATAAATTATTGCTCTTAAATGTGCAGAAATATTCAATATGTTTGTTTGTTTATAGGTTGGTGCATTTGTGTTAGATCCCATGTGTGGATTAGGAACAATCCTCTTAGAAGCTGCGAAAGAATGGCCTGTAAGTTCTACAATAATCATAAGTAGGATGTTTCCGAGAGAGAATTGCAATCATTCATATTATATTTGTAAAACAGAATATTAGAACTGGAAGGAACCTGGAGAGGTCATGAAGTCCAGTCCCCTCTACTCACGGCAGAACAGAGCACCACCTAGATCGGGGTCGGCAACCTATGGCTCATGAGCCGAATACAGCTCATGAGGGAGCCAGATATTGCTCTTCTGAAGCTCAAGCCTCATCTTGGCTGCGCTGGTGCTAAAGCAGGCCTGGACAAAACAATCCGGCTGCGGATGCAGCAGGGAGCCCCCAAGCAATTCCCCTGCTTGTCCACACATGGTGCAGATACGCGGCTGTGGGGCATTTGTTTTCTGTGGAACCCCCCTCATGTCGGGGTGGCCAATCATTTTTATGAGGGGGCTAAGTACATCTGGGCAGCTCCAAGATTTTGGGAAGTGGTTGAGGGCCGTACTCTTCCATGATTTTAATGGAGGAAGTGTGGAGTCTGGGATAAGGGATTGGGGTGCAGGAGGGAGAGTGGGGTCTGAGAGGGAGTTTGGGTGAAGGAGGCAGTTGTGAGCCTGGGACAGGAACCTGGGGTGTAGGGTTTGGGTGGGGTGCTGGGATTTGGGCTGTGTTCTGGGGCAGGGAATTGGGGTACAGGAGGGGGTGGAGGTTTGGGTTGGGATGTAGGGCAGGAGGGAGTTGTCACCCGGGGCAGAGGATTGGGGTGTTAGATCTGGGGGGAGTATGGGTGCAGGAGGAGGGCAGGGGGTTTTGGGGTATGTGGGGTAGGAGTGGCAGGAGTGTGGAGGCAGAGGATAGGGGGAGGGAGGGTCAGAAGTACCAGAGGCAGACTCTGGCAGGGAGACTTACCTGGGTGACTCCTGGCCAGCAGCCCAGCAGAGTTCTCAGGCAGCCAGCCTGCCTGCCCTGCCCCTGCACCGGCTGCAGGGGCCCTGTGCATGTGTACAGCAGGAGGGGGCCTGTTTTGTGTGCTGCCTGTTTTTTGAAACAGGAGCTTCCATTGGCCGGAAACTGGCCAATGGTATTGTGCTGGGACTGGGACGGCTCATGAAGCCTTTCCCTCCTGGCTCCCAATTGTGAAAGAGAAACGGCCTGGCAGCCACTTCTGAGTGGTGTGTGGATGGGGCAAGGCAAGCAGGAAGCCTGTCTGGGGCTCCCTGGTGTGTCTGCGGGCCGGATCCAGTGGCTTGCTGGGCCAGATCCTGCGTGTGGGTTGTATTTTGCCCAGGCCTGCATGATATCCGTCCAGCATGACTGTGAACCATTGAGAACTACTCTCTGGGAATGGTTATGCACCCATCTTAGAGTACTGTATCCCCATTGAGATTGTATTTAAGGTTTGTTAATGCGAGGGTCATGTGAGATTGTATCATATGCCTTATTAAAGTCTAGATATACCATATCTGTTGCTTCTTTGTTGAGTAGTGTCCCCGTGGGTGCCCCAGTACAGGTGTCGGGCTCGTCCCAGCGCTGCAGCTCAGAGAGCTTTCCTAAGCAGTAGCCTCTGCCGGACCATGCATGTGCAATGCTGCCTCGTGCTGTTCGTGCCCTTTCTGTGAAGTGCGGTCCAGCCCACCAGTTCTTCCTAACCGTCCATGGCTGCAGACGGAATCCGGCGAGCGCCTCCTCTGTTCAGATAGTTCTGGCTAGGGGGAACTGGCGGGCCGGACTGCGCTCCAAAGAAAGGGTGTGAACGGTGCGAGGTGGCATCTGCGTATGCGCGGTCTGGTGTGGGCTACTGCTAAGGAAAACTGTCCGAGCTGTGGCGCCAGGACGAGCCCGACACCTGTCGTGAAGCACCCACGGGGGGGGACACATCTTGAAGAACAGATATTACTGCACGGGTGAGTAACTCTGTCTTCCCAGTTATTCCATTAGTCTGGTTGCTTTCTCAAAGAAAAGTTTTCTCAAGTGGTCCTTCAGGGTGGACGTAGCCCTATTTCCACCTGGACCTGTTCACGACCCACAGCAATAGGAAGTGCCCTTGTTTTTGCTCCCTAGTCAACCACAGCCCAGGGTCTCTGGGGGATGCTGGCATGATCCCTTGGCCTCAGGCTCTAATGTATGCTTTTACCCCCTTCCCCCTGATCCATAGGGTGATCCTCAGGGTCAGGGAATTTCAGGTCTCCGTAATCCTGATAGCCCTGGCCTGGCTTTGTCAGCATTGGTTCCTGGACCTTCTCGCCCTCTAGCCCTCCCCCCCGTGCCCAGACTAATCTCTCAGGAGTCCAGCAGGCTTTGGAGCAGGTCCAGGCAGTTCTCGGGAAGCCATAAGCCTTCTGCTTGGTCCCCTTACCTGAGGAAGTGGAAACGCTTCATCCTCTGGTCAGACTGCGAGGGATTCTTCCCTATGGAGGCCCCTGTACCTGCAGTCTTGGATTGGCTCCTGGGGCTCAGGCTTCAGGGCCTGGCTCCTTCCTCCGTACAAGTGCACCTAGCAGCCATCTCGGCCTTCCATTTGGGCTCTAGTGGCAGGATCATTTTTTCAGATCCCATGGTGCACCGTTTTCTTAAGGGGTTGGATAGGCTCTACCCCTAGGTACGTGAACCCTTGCCCTCCTGGGACCTAAATGTGGTTCTCACAAAGCTCATGGGGCTGTTAGCAACAGGTTCCCTTCTGCACCTTTCCTGGAATGTGTCCTTCCTGGTGGCCATTACTTCGGACAGGCGAGAGTTGGAACTAAGGGCCCTGTTGGTGGACTCTCCGTACACAGCCTTTTTTAAGGGTAAGGTCAGGTTGCGCTCCCACCCTCCCTTTTTGCCCAAGGTGGTTTCTTTCTTCCATGTTCACCAGGATATTTTTCTTGTTTTTTACCCCAAGCCCCACAGCTCTGGGACAGAGCAGGTTTTACGCACTCTTGACGTGAGATGTGCTTTAGCCTTTTATTTAGAGAGTCCCCTTTGATCTATAGTGGACAGGATGAAGGGCCACCCTGTCAGCCCTGTGTATTTCATCCTGGACCACAGCTTCGATCAAAGCGTGCTACAAGCCGGCGCAGGTTCTGGCTCCGCCCATTATGGCTTGTTCTGCGAGAGCCCAAGTGTCTTCTATGGCTTTTGTAGCTCAGGTGCCCATCGTAGAGATTTGCAGAGCAGCTACCTGGTCGTCGGTGCACATGTTTGCAGATCGTTACGCCATTATGCAGCAGTAGGGCTGTGTCGCAGTCCATCTCTCGATAGATGACTCCAAAGCTAACCCCAGGAGGTGGTGTCAGAGCCTAAGTGCAATGGACACAAGCAAGCACTCGAAGGAAAACAGTTAATTATTTTGGTAACTTGTTCTTCGAGATGTGGTGTTCAAATCCCGCCTCCCCTGCATCGGAAGGCTCCAGCAAGGAGGAACCTGAGGGGGTGGAGAGCCAGCGGGGGGTATATATGCATCGATATAGTGGTGCCAATCCAGGGGGCTCCCCCTGCCCTGGCAGCTAAGAGAAAACTCTCCAACAGTCCGTGCACACGGTGTGCGCACCCCTAAGTGGAATGGACGGGAGCAACACAGCTCGAAGAACAACCGTTGCGATTATTCTCCTAGTGCAAAAATGGAGGAAGACAGCTGCAGGCTGTCATAAAGTGCATACCCCAGAGCAGAGGCTATGTCAGGGATGATGTGTCAGAGCAATGCACTGGAAGGTTCTGAGTAGTGCAGCTGCTTATAGGTATTTGGAGTCCAGCTGTTTTAGAACGCCCTGAGTGCTAAGTACTTTACTGTTCCCTAGAGCAGCCTGGAATTGGAAAACTTAAAGCCACTTTTGTACCTTTTCTCTCTCGACTTGGTTATATTCTGCTCCTGTAAGAACTGCATCACTGAACCTCATCCAGTGGTCTTGCCTTTGAACAACCTGTATTCTTAAATGTATAAGTAATTGGTATTGTGTGGTGTTCTGCATAATAAACAATTCTCCTTTTTCCTCCCTACAGAATGTACAATACTTGGGTGCTGATATAAATGATTCACAGCTAGAAGGTGCACATGAAAACATTAAGGCTTCAGGCCTGATGGATAAAATTGAGTTACTTAAAGCATCTGTAGTAGGTAATATATGAATGTAATTTAGAATAACCAGGCATGTGTTGAGGACTCTATATCTGGAGTTCTGGATCTATACAGAGTGAATACTGAGAGTCCTTGTCCATAGATGAGTAGGTTGAGGGTTGACACTTTTCTTTGTTCGTGAACTGCTGATTTTTTTTAAATTTCCCCTCCTATGTTTTGTCAAGAAACTGAATAAAAGGATATTAATTTCCAGGGTTTGGCAAATCACTATTATTACTTTGTATCAAATATCTTTTTCCCCTGGGAATTTCATATCATGTAGGTAGAAATTCTAGTTAACTAATACAAAGGTAAATTCCTGTGATATGTATCTTGTAACTCAGATTTTTTCTACGGTAACTTTAGTCAACTAGAGAATCATTATCATTTAATAACCCTCACCTTTTCCTGGAAAATGCTATCTGTTCTCAGCTTTATGGGCTAATTTTAGGAGAAGAGCATTGCTTTATAATATTATACTTAATATGGCCAGGTCACCCAAATCTGGATTACCCTGAATTACCAGTACTGATAACCCATTACAGCAGTTACCAAAATACCTTCACTGTAACCTAGAGCAGTCCTTCCCTTATAATGTTTCCTTGCCTGATTGGTTTTAGAGTCCCCACAGGACTCGGTTTGGCTTAGGATACTTAACATTAGAAGTACTCTGAACTCAGACCATGTTCTTTTTGAGGAAGTAATTGATATCTTCTGGCTGTGTCTTAGTAATTGGTCGGGGTATATTAATTCAATGGTTTTTCGTTCATAGTCAAAATAGTTTTATCATATGTCTAGGTAGGAGAATATACTGGGAAACAGATAAAGCTGTTCTCAGGAAACTAGTCTTTTTATATAGCGTCAGTGAAATTTAGAGCTGGCATAGAAAATTCAGGCATCTGGAGAATCAGTTTAAAGCAAGCAGGTCAAAATTAAATTGGCTACAGTCAGGCCTGCCTGTAACCAGATTCTATATGAGCTATGTGATGTCACTTCCTTCAATTTAACATGTACATTTGAGCAACTTATTTTTGCAGATTAAATGCCTACAATCTTAACCCACAACTCCCACTTTAAAACTTGTTTGTAAACAATTATTTATTTTGAAGGGCATAACTATTTTGTAAATATGGAATTAGTGAATATGACTTTACAACATCTTGATCCGATGTTTTTACTTGCAAATCAACACTACTTTTCTGTCTGCCAGCATCGCAGACTCAAACAGGGTGTATCTTTTTATTAGTAATAAACATTCTACAAGCTAAACCATGCCCTCATTTATATTGTTGCCTTTAATGGAATATGAGACTGAAGTTCAGTAATAGCATTCAAGTATCAGAGGGGTAGCTGTGTTAGTTTGAATCTGAAAAAGCAGCGAGGAGTCCTGTGGCACTTTATAGACTAACCGAAGTGTTGGAGCATAAGCTTTTGTGGGCAAAGACCCACTTTGTCAGATGCATGTAGTGGAAGTTTCCAGAGGCTGGTATAAATATGCAGGCTAGAGATGACGAGGTGGATCCAATCATGGAGGATGAGGCCCACTTCTAGCAGCTGATCTGGAGGTATGAATGCCAAGAGAGGAGAAGCTGCTTTTGTAGTTAGCTAGCCATTCAAAGTCTTTGTTTAATCCTGAGTTGATTGTGTCAAACTTGCAGATGAACTGTAGCTCCGCAGTTTCTCTTTGAAGTCTGGTCCTGAAGTTTTTTTGCTGCAGGATGGCTACCTTTAGATCTGCAATTGTGTGTCCAGGAAGATTGAAGTGTTCTACAGGTTTTTGAATGTTGCCATTCCTAATACCTGATTTGTATCCATTTATTCTGTCCAGTTTGGCCAATGTATATAGCAGAGGGGCATTGCTGGCACATGATGGCGTATATTATGTTATTAGATGTGCAGGAGAATGAGCCAGTGACAATATGGCTGATCTGGTTAGGTCCTGTGCTGGTGTATATATGTGGGCAGAGTTGGCACCGAGGTTTGTTGCATGGATTGGTTCCTGAGTTAGTTATGGTGCGGTGTGTAGTTGCTGGTGAGAATATGCTTCAGGTTGGCGGGTTGTCTGTGGGCAGGCAAAACTAATAGCATTGGTTTCTTTCTAGTAATGAAAAAAGGGAGCTAAGACATTCTCGGGGGTTGTGTTCTAGGTCTGTAAGTGTGCCATGTGGCATCTCTCTTGAGCGTTTTTAGGTCTGCCTGACATTCCCCAGCTCAGCTATAAATCAGGAAGCCTCCAGCTTCCCTGGCAGCTAGATTCCCCCTGCTCCCTAGCCAGAGTAAGAGTGTCTCTCTCCCGGGGTCCCTCCTGGAGCCTTTATTTATACAGCCCACAGCTGGGCCCTAATTGGCAGCTATCTGCTGCAGCTGCTTGCTTCATGACTCCAGCCCTCACCCAGGCCTGGGTTTTAACCCCTTAAAGGGCCAGTGTGGGACTGACACCCTGTCACAGTTCTCTGTGGGGGTCTGACACCCAGTTTGGGAAAACAGTTCTCCAGTGTCCGGTTCTTTTTAGACCACTTCTTTAGACAGTTTTCAGTGTAATTTATCTGCAGAGATTGGAGGTTCTATCATATCAGAGGCAAAGAAGGGAAACATTTATCTAGTTACTGTATTTTTGTGGAGAATAATAAGCTAAATTATATACTTTCTCTCCACCATATCTACCTTTCAGGGTGTGTGGATTGTATTAAATGAATGGGACTGTAGTGGAGTTGAGCTCATGACGCCTTATGAGGGAGCATTTGCATTGCCTGAATAGCTATTGTTTCTCGGAGGGCTCTGAACACTGTATGCCGAGGCTATGCGCTCCACAGGAGTGAGGATCTTGTTGCCAATATGCTTGAACCGTGGTTGCTACTCAGTCACTGTTCTTTCTTATGTATAGCCAAATGTAAGAATCTGACTCTCTTTTGCAGCATTGCCATTACCTTCAGAAAGTGTTGATGTTGTGATTTCTGACATTCCATTTGGGAAAAAGTTCAAGATAACAAAAGACATAAAACTTCTACCCAATATTCTTCAAGAAATGGAAAGGTATATATAATCTTCGAAATCTTAGGGTATCATTTAAACTCTATACTTGTTTGTAATTCTGTGAACTGGACCCAGAAAGCTAATAACTAAATACGTACGCATACCAGATTATTCTGGATGATTTGTTTTTGTTAACACTTTAGGAGTCTTAAGATGCTTTTGCAACAGGAGAATAGTAAAGTACACTCTATCTTTCATGTTAAACTGTCAGGTTTTCATATCCTCTTTCTTTTATGTCCCATGCGCTTTTGGATCGGGGCCCCCTTTTAACACTTCTTGTATGGGGAAAACCAGGACTGCTTGTCTGTTTTTTCACATTTAGAGCCTGTTAAAATAAAGAATGTGTTTAAAAACAATAAGCTTTTTTTACATTTTAAATACAATTTAATAAACAAAGGCATACACAACAATTTTTAGAGCATTTTTAAAGAAAGGTATTAATGCTGGTATCAAAATACTTAATTGTAGGGGAAAGTAAACAAGAGTGGTACTTAAGTATTTCATTGATTTAGGGCCTTAGCATCTAAAATGTCAGGCTACGTCTAAAGTTTTTCTGTTAAAAGCATTTGCGGAAAAGAGCGTCTAGATTGGCACGGACCCTTTTCCGCAAAAGCACTTTTTGCAGAAAAGTGTCTTTGCTAATCTAGGTGCGGTTTTGTGCAAGAAAGCCCCGATCGCCATTTTCGCCATCGGGGCTTTTTTGCGCAACACGGTTTTTAGCGGTCTACACTGGCCCTCTGGGCAAAAGCCCTTTTCCGGAAATGTTTTTGCGCAAAACGGGAACGTCAAAGCATTTGCGCAAGAAGCACTGATTTCAGGCAGTAGAACGTCAGTGCTTTTGTGCCAAAATCAAGCAGCCAGTGTAGACAGCTGGCAAGTTTTTGCGCAAAAGCGCCTGCTTTTGCGGAAAAACTTGCCAGTCTAGACGCAGCCTCAGTGTCTGGGATTCTTGAAGGTTGGCAGATACTGACTTATCCTTTGCAAAGAACTATCATAGCTCTTATTTTGAATGACTGTCTAAATTCTACAGTAACGAGGGCATGAGGAGTCCACAGATAGAATGCACAGCTTAATAAGTATGCATAACTAACCATGGTTTGTTTGTGGGGTTTTTAATTGTCAGAGTGCTTCGTGTTGGAGGGACAGTTGTATTACTTATGAGTCAAGATCTCCACAAACACATGGATGGGTGCATTAGCAACTGTGTTGAAAGCGACACATCTTTGAACATCACCAGTGATGGCGAGAATGGAGCTGCTGTGGTGAAAGATTTGAATCCCAAGGAGAAAAATGGGAGCCTAAGAAATATTCCCTCTTCAGTTAAAGGGGTAGAGATTGAACACTTGCACAACAACATTACATGCTTTGGGTCCTTAGCAGCAGTAGAGTCCTACAAAGTGAGCCTTGGAAAAACAGATGCTTTCATATACAAATATAGGAAGGTGCCTGGTGCTGGAATGCAGTAACATTCCAGAAATGACAATGGATCTTATTTGAAAGCATATTGCGCTGAAACAATTGAGCCATGTTGGTCCTAAATTGGGCCATAGTGTGTCACTTGTAAGCAACCTTTTTATTTGGACAGGCTTACAGTATTCCTCCTCTTCCTCCCCCTCCCCCAGCTTCCTCTTGGCTACAGAATTCAGTAGTTACAAGATAGCGGAGTTGGTTCTCCAGCAACGTTAAGCTGCCATAATAAAATATTGAAATGAGGCCAAATCCTACGGTCCTTGCTCAAGAAAAGGATCCGTTTACCTAAGAAGTAGAGGTCCTGCAAGGGCGTCTTGGTTTTAGCCACACTCTTCTAGAAGAGAGCTGTAGGTATTATCAGAACTCCTGATGAGGTGCGTGGTCACAACGATTATACTTAGGAAATCTCAGCATATTTATAATTAATAGTTAGCAACACTCTAACCTTGCATGGCACTCCTTCGTTGAGGCCCTGCCCCCTCTGTTCCCCTCCTCTCCATCACTTGCTGGGCCCGGCCCTTACTCACTCTCACTGGGTTGAGGCAGGAGGTGCAGGCTCTGGGGTGGGAGTGAGGGATTTGTGTGCGGGAAGGTGTGAGAGGTGCAGGTTCTGGGGGGGGGAGAGATGGAGAAGGGGATGTTGGTTCATGGTGGGGGCTCCAGGCTGGAGAATGTTGGGATCAGGAGGAGGTTTGGGATCCTGAGCAGAGTGCACGCTTTTGGCTGTGGGGGTGCAGGAGTTTGGGATGGGGTGCATGTGGGGCTCAGGGCAGGGAGGTTGGGTGTATAATGGGCTCAGGACACAGACTTGCAGTATGTGGATGGTGCAGGAGTGTTGAGGCAGAAGACTGGGGATGTAGGAGATTGGGGATGAGGGGCTCAGGACAGGGGTATGATGGGCTTAGGTTTGGGGGCTGTGGGGCTGCAGGAGTGTTATGCTTCAGCCAGATGTGAGCTTGGCCTGGCTTCATTTTTAAATAAAATATATCTAACACAATGTTTCAGAATTGTCTTTATTTATGGGAGGGGTGGGGAACCTGTTTTGGGTGGGGTCACTGACTCTCAGAAAAATTAGTCGGGATCACACAAGTGAGATGCAAAAAAATACCTCAAACTCCCCAGGCCTCACTGATGTGGCCCCACTGAGACATCTCACTGCCTTGGCACTCCAGTTTCATGTGGGGGGAGGGTAGATAGGACTGAGGCTCAAGGCCTCAGGCCAGATAAACTCTTATGGGGTTCCAGGGTTAGTGGAATTTGTGGGCCCCTCTACACTCTGAAATGGGGCCAAAAATGAGGGATCCAGTGTGCAGGACAGGGCTGCCAGTGAGTGGGATACGGGGGGGGGGGGGGGGGAGAACTGGGGGGAAGGGGGGTATGATCTGTAGGCTGGGGGTTGGGTGCAGGGGGGGTAGTGGACAGGGGTTGGGTGCTGAATAGGGGTCTGGCCATGAGGCAGGGTCATAGTGCTGGTGGGAGACTGGCCACGGGCAGGGGCAGGGGGAAGGGTGCTGGGGCAGGTGGGATTCTGGCCTGGGGACGGGGGCAAGGTGCTGGGGGGGGACCTAGGAAGGGGGGCGACAGGAGCAGCTCAGCCAGTACCTAGGGCTCCTATGATGCACACTGCTCCTCCCATCATCTGGCATGCTTCCCGAAAAGCCGGGTCTGGTGCGCAGCCAGAGATTTCCTTCCCCCTCCTGCCTACTTTCTTGTGCTGGGCTATGCGCTGGAGCCAGTGTCTCAAGAAGCATGCGGGCTGCTCCTCCCCTCCCCCAAACAGTTGGCTTGCTTCCAGCTAGTACCTAGGGCTCCTATGATGCACACTGCTCCTCCCATCATCTGGCATGCTTCCCGAAAAGCCGGGTCTGGTGCGCAGCCAGAGATTTCCTTCCCCCTCCTGCCTACTTTCTTGTGCTGGGCTATGCGCTGGAGCCAGTGTCTCAAGAAGCATGCGGGCTGCTCCTCCCCTCCCCCAAACAGTTGGCTTGCTTCCTGAGAAATTTGATCTGGCGTGCAGCTGATGACTTCCTTCCCTGTGCTGCCTTCCTGCTGCCTTCAAGGCAGGCAGCAGGGGGAAGGAAGTCCCTGGCTGTGCACCAGACCCGGTTTTTCAGGAAGTACATCGGCTGTTTGGGGGAGGGGAGGAGCAGCCTGCATGCTTCCCTGAGAGCCTGGGTCTGGCGTGCAGCTGTGGGACTTCTCTCCCCATGCCGCAGGAAGCTGGTGCTGCTTCCATTTTCCCAGGAGATTGTGCCAGTATGGGCTAATTTTTTGGGGGGGAGGGGGGGAATGCCTCACGATTCACTGGTTATGTCCCCAAAATTGACTAGTTGATCGCAATTGACAGGTTGGTGACCATGGCACTAACACCATTTGAAAATAATTTTAAAATGAGGGTCCTCACAAACAGGAGTTCTTCTTTCAAAATAACGAGCCTGTTATTTTGAAATAACTTCTAGTTTCAGAATAACTCCCCAATGTAGAAATGCCATAACAGAGCAACGGTGACACTAGGTGGCTACTTTTGGTAATGCAGCAGCTGTGTCACTTAGTGGCCACTTGCAAATAAATTGGCACACATTTTTAAGGCTATGTCCACACCGGGAAATTATTTTTCAATAACTTATGAAAGTTATTTTGTGAGTTATTTCAAACTAGTATATCCCCACTATAGGGAAGGCTCCAAATTCATGTGAGGCAGGCTCCCTTAAGGTGTGTCCATACAGCAGGGCTAAACTCAATACGTTACACAAATTGAGCTATGTCAATTGTGTAGTGTATTTCAAAATGAAATAAGGAGCATTTATTTCTAAATATAGGACTCTTCCTCTGACTTTCCTTAGCCCTTGTACAATGAGGATTACGGGAGCTGGAGTAAAATCCTCCAGCTTGACAGTAGACAAGGACTAAGTTATTTTGAAATAATGTTGCTTTGTAATGATGGTGTGGTGCTCAGGGTATGTCTACACTATGCATTTGTTTCAGAATAAGCTATTTCATAATAGTTATTTTAGGTGTTAGCTTAACTGTAGTGTCCATGTGCTTTTTTTGAAATACTAATTACTCTAAGGTGGCTTCCCTACTGTAGACCTGTTACCTTGATCTAGAGCCCCAGCAAATACTGGGGCGTAATTAGAGTGTGGGGAGTAGTTATTTTGAACTAAGTGCAGCTGAGAATGTACAGTAAGGCTATTTCAATATAACCATTTTGAAATGAGGGTTATTCCTTCTTTCAAACTAGGGCCCTTTTCAAAATAACTCTCCTCAATAGTAATAGAGATGTAGCCATGTTAGTCTGGTGTAGCTGAAACAAAAAACAGGACGATGTAGCACTTTAAAAACTAACAAGATGGTTTATTAGGGGATGATTTCTCGTGGGCCAGAACCACTTCCTCAGATCAAATTGTGGAAGAAAATAGGCACAACGGTATATTCCAAAGGGATACAATAAAAGAAATGAACAAGTATAAAAAGAACAAATCGAATTTCAGAACAGAGGCGGGGATGAGGGAGGGAAGGTAAATGCCTGTGCGCTCATGCTATGAGAGGTGATAAGTGGGGAAGCTCTCTCTGTAATGGGCAAGTAATTAGTGGCTCTGTTACGACCCAGGTGCAAAGTGCCCAGTTGCAGCGGAAGGTCCGTCCAGGGGTGTCTCTCACGCCTGGGCGGAAAGAACAAATCGAATTTCAGAACAGAGGCGGGGATGAGGGAGGGAAGGTAAATGCCTGTGCGCTCATGCTATGAGAGGTGATAAGTGGGGAAGCTCTCTCTGTAATGGGCAAGTAATTAGTGGCTCTGTTACGACCCAGGTGCAAAGTGCCCAGTTGCAGCGGAAGGTCCGTCCAGGGGTGTCTCTCACGCCTGGGCGGAAAGGGCTCTGGTGCAGGGAAGCGGGTCCTGCCCGTCGCCCGGCGCGGGGGTAGCCGCAGTGGCTTGTGGGAAACGTTCCGTTTCCCCCAGTCCGCAGCTCCCAGCGGCCATTGCAGGTCTGGCGCTGTTAAGTTGGGCGGGCTCAGCGGAAGTGACATCACAGTCCGGCCACTGCCCCGGAAGCGACAGGCGTTGGCCTCGCGCGCGTGTCACACCCCGCCCTAGCGATGCATCCTGGGAGTTGTAGTTCTCAGAGTGCGGCCTCCTGGGGCAAGTC